TACGATCTGCTGGAGACTTAAGTCTATCTTCTGTCTGTAGTCCCACCTCTGATGCTCGCCTTCAAGATTTTTCGAGGGCGGCACCGTTCCTGTAGAACACGCTTCCCTTCTCAGTTAAATGCTCACCCAGTCTCCACTCCTTCAAAAAATCGTTAAAAACCCACTTCTTCATAAAAGCGTATCAATTAAACTGTTAATAGCTCCTGACTGATTCCTCTTCTGCAACTGTCACTAGTCTAATACTATCCTTACCTTTTTGTGTCATTTTACCCCACTCCCTCTAGCATGTAAGCTCATTGAGCAGGGCCCTCAACCCCTCTGTTCTTGTGTGTCCAACTTGTCTGGTTACAATTACATGTCTGTTCATCTACCCATCCATTGTAAAGCGCTGTGGAATTTGACGGTGCTCTATAAATATCATAATAATAATAATAATGTACTGTAACGGAACCGCTGGCACCCCGACCAGGTACCTTCCGCCGACAGATGCTCCTAGTGCTTTCCGAGGACTCCAAGCACTCTGCCTGACACCATAACCACTGCAGACCCCACGAACCGCCGCAGCTTGGTTGGGATCTCGCCGTCTCCACCCACTCTGGACCCAGGACCAGGGTCCAGCTTCCAGCAGGTCGACCTCTCTCCGAATTCCAGAGAGCAGGAACAGGAAGAAGCTCTTAGCAGAGCTTAGTGATTATACCCTGGGGAGTATAGTGATTATAGCAATCCCCAGAGTGTAGTTTCTCCAATCCCCCAAACATGAGCCGAAACTTCATGAAGGTACAAGATGATCTGACTCCAATGAGCGTTTATTACTCCTTATATACAAGTTTTCAGGTCAGAGGCACACCCCCTGGACCTGGTGGTAAACTGTGACAAAAGGGACACAAACCAATGGGAACAATAATTAACATGATAACACTCTCACATACACAATGAAATCCCTCCTCTCCATCCTGGAGATAATTGGCTTAAGGCACTGCAGTAAACTCAATTATCTCCAGGTACAGAAAATATCTACATTTAACACTAACAGCAAAAATACGTAAAAGTACATAAAAATACATAATTCTTATTTTATTACACAGAACCCCCACATTTAACCTATCCCCAGATAGCTCGGATCTGAGCGCCCAATCTAGGTGAACAGCGCTCAGATCCCATGAACAGAGTAGATTTTCCATGGGGTAAAGCATAGCAAGGGCTGTTGAGAAACCAAGGAGGGACAAAAGCAGTCAGTTCCAACTGGTTTGGCAGTGTGTCTGGGACAACGCCCTACTGGAGAACAATAGACAGGAAAACGGGGGAGGGAAGAAACACACCTTCCCATGGATTCAAATGGGAAGAAACTGTCTTTAGAAGCCAATAAGGAGGGACAAAAGCAGTCAGTTCCAACTGGTTTGGCAGTGTGCCTGGGACAACGCCCTGCTGGAGAACAATAGACAGGAAAACGGGGGAGGGGAAGAAACACACCTTCCCATGGATTCAAATGGGAAGAAACTGTCTTTAGAAGCCAATAAGGAGGGACAAAAGCAGTCAGTTCCAACTGGTTTGGCAGTGTGCCTGGGACAACGCCCTGCTGGAGAACAATAGACAGGAAAACGGGGGAGGGGAAGAAACACACCTTCCCATGGATTCAAATGGGAAGAAACTGTCTTTAGAAGCCAATAAGCCCCAAATAGTCTTTTTAAATGGCAATACACCCCAGGGCCATAGTCATGAGGAAGGAGGCTGGCAATCAGGCTCCTCCAAAAGCCGGGGGCAAAGGGTAGCTTGTCACATAACAATCCAGGGACAAAAGGCATTTCGTCACATGTACCATGTGTTAATATGGACTTGAAGATTGAGTTTTGAATTAGTGTTTTATTTATGTGAATTTATTCATTTTCTATGTTTTACATAGTAGGGGCTACTTTGTCTTGTGTAATTGCAATCATTGTCACAAGGTGGAGTTTTTAATCAACGTTTCACCTACATGACAATGGCACCTTATTGCACATGTGCAAGAATTCCACATTCTCATAAGAGCCTCAATAGACTGTTTTGTACTCTCAAATGTGTGGAAGCAAAAAGGGACAAGGTCAGATGAAGTTTCTAGGAGCCCAATACTTACCATTTTAGAAACCTTTGTAAATACCATAGTGCTCAAGAAGAAGCCGTCCATAAGGCCCCAGGGTCTCCTCATCCATGCCAGGCTTCAGTGCGTTTTTACATACATATGTCAGGCATTTTTCTCAATGAAAAAATAGCGATGGACTGAGTGTGTCAACTGATGCTCTCAGTCCATCTCTTGTGGTCTGACAAATGTTTTCACATTGAACCTGATGACAGAGCTGAAGATACAGGTGGATGATGTGCTCCATCTGGACAGTTTAACAGCTTAGGCTAAGATGGCACACAGGATGATGTGTACTGTAGTGTTTTGTAGGGGTCAAAACAGGTGTCTGGTGTTCTTACATTCAAGACATTGTTGCATGTAAGGCTTTTAAGTCTCATTTTCTTTTATGTCTTTGCTTCCAAACCAGAAACGAGTTCTAGTTTAGAGATCGATCCACTCATTCTTAGAACAGCCTCACTCACTGTTCAAGGTTCCTTCGAGAAGAAAATCTCATACTAAATAGAACTAGTTGTCCGGTGCCTCTGATTGGGTTATGCAGTGTATTAACACTTTAATTTTGGCGATGTTTTAGTTTTTTTCAACCAACTACAATAATAAGACTATTCCATATGCCAATTTTGGTACTTATTTAGAATGGTGGAGGGATGCTGAGCTCCAATCCACTCATCCTTACCAGAAACAATACCTAGGTTCTGAGTAGTCTAAGTTTCCTATCGACTTTGATAATATGAACAGAGGTTTTAGACATTGTTGATTGCTTGTTTTTATGATTGCTGGAAGAAGGGGATTATATCTTTCTCTTATCTTTGAACATAAACAATGGCTATTCCTTGGAAGCAGCATGAATCTTTTCTGTATACATGCAGAATCCGGCCATTGTACTCCTATTGAGTCAGATAAAGGTTTGATCTGAAAATCCATGATTAAGGCACAATTGCTTTTTGGAAGACTGATGATGTGTGACAATAGTGTTGTGGTCTTCATACAATGCGTCATACAACAGCTTTTCAGTTCTGTCCCTGTTTGCATCCTCTAAATGTAGTCATTAGAGCTCTTACCTGAGATTTGCAAGCCGTTTGCTTTCCTGTGTTTGGATTTAGAAGAACCACATCAAATGAGACTGCAACGATTTGCAAGATTTCAGTAGAAATGAATGAAGAGGAAGCAGGTTGGGAAATTACTCACCCGGTTTGACCTTCTTGCTTTATGAACATGATTTCCCTCGTAGAAATTACATGGCAAGGTTCCTTCTATGTATCTCTATGTCTCGTGCTGAGGTTTTAACAACTCTGCTTTCTGGACGTGTTGCTTAAATTTTCTGGTCACAATTGAAAACACAATAAAACAAAATAGTTCTGATGTTTGCGAATTATAATCTTTTCCCTGTGCGAAAGGTCACATTATCTTTTATCAAGGGTATTTAAATATTAGACCTCCCACTGATTACAACTACCATAAACCTTTGCCAATCAAAAGCACATCAATTGACTGGCAATGTTTATGGCAATTGTAGTTTACTAGTAGCAGGATATGGTTTTATTTAAAGTGAATCTGTCGTGCAGTAAATATCATTTGTATAAAATGATATATAATTTCCCATAAAGATGTTAACATTTTAGCTACAGTCTACCCTTTGTTCCTTTGCCACCATGCCTGGAAAATCTGTGAATTTGTGCGCTTTAATAACACCCACCCTACTTTTAACATGATTGTCTAACACAAAAGCAAATAAAAGCACAAGAATAAGTCCTACGCTGAAACTTTAACTACGTTTATGTAGCTAATCTTCAGTCCAAATATATAAAGAAAACAAGGCCAAAAATGTATTTGCGCACATTCCCGAACCCCTATGTACATACAAATAATGTAGGCTTTTGGTACCACAACAGTAGACATTAAAGTGTAAGCCCACCTGCCAATATCAATGCAAATGTCATAGGTGAGTATTACGCTAACAATTCACCTTGCTGCTTTCAGCTAAAAGGCAAAATCCATAGTGAGACCGAGGTGACTTTTCTTATGAAATTTCATACCCATGAAAATTGAGTGGAAAAGGAGAGAGGAAGGACCTGTCAGAAAAAGGGCATGTGGTCAACCTGCTATGCTGACTGATTAAAACAAACTTTTATGTGACTAGAGGGCCAAATGTTCTGAGCACTGCTTTCATGTCTTGAGGTAACTCTACACAAGACAATAATTGCACTGATTGGGGAAATCTTTCTGGTTGGGCCTATTGGGAAGTATTAAAACAAATTAAGTGACTCTAAATTGAGCACACATGAGGTTGGCACTTGCATTGCTGTATAATTACCCATGCTCCCTCTTGTCTAAAATCCCAATATTATCCTTTACATTGTAAGCCCATGGGCTATCTCAATAAGCACTTGGTATGAAAGAGCTCAATGGTTAGATCTCAGCTTATAGCAGGGCCCTCTTTACCTTTTGTATTTGTCTGTGTATATTATACATTCTCCCCTAATGGTACAGCGCTACAGAATATGTTGGCACTTTGTAAATGCCATAAATAAATAAATATAAAAGCAGAATTTAGGCTGATCGAAGCAAACTCACATGCAAAGAGCTCCTGCGAGAGCATTGCTTAATTAAGGATAAGAAAACAGGTAAAACCATCCGAAACTCACCCAAGAGACGCCCAAGCACTATGGGGAAAATGGCTAAGCTTCGGAGAAGCAACACTGCCTCCTCATCACAAGATTTTGGTACTTAGCTGAGGAGGACCCCGCAGACGTGGCCTACCAAAATGTCGCCGGCAAGGGAGAATTCCGACATTACATTGGAGGAGAGCGAAACGGAAACCTTATCAATCCCCAGCACATAAAGTGCAAAAAAAGGCAAACCCAGAACCTCTGCACCTACCTGGAAGTCAGTGGGCAAACACCAACCCCAGCCTGGAACAAACACCGTCAAATAAGGCCGACATCCGGACGGGGTCCCAAGAGACTTGCTGCTATGCTTCCAATCGACAGAGTAAGCAGCTTGTACAGGCGGCTGTTTGTGAATCACCAATTCAAAACTTTGAAGGTGCAGATCTCTCCTTCTATAACGACATGACTAGATCCACTATGGTCTGGTGACAAACTCTCTCCGCACTGTCACTCTGCACTTGAGGGAACTTGGAGTGGTGTACCAATGGGGCCCCAGCTGCAAGTTGTCAGTGCTCCACGAAGGAAAGAGCATCCATCTACTGCAACTGTCAGATGCAGGGAAGTTCTTCAAAGCCCAGAGACTGCCTTTGCCAGAGACTGTTCTGAATACTATAGCGGGTACAAACCCCCAAGCCATGGGGTGGGATGGGAGCAATATAAGTCCCTTTTAACCAAAATCTAGACCAGCAGCAACTGAAAAAAACCTAGCTGGCACCTGATAACCATCCTTAAAGCACAAGGACATGCCTTACCATACCAGTTGCCATTGGTTACTTATTACTGCAATTAAAACTACTTATTCAGGACTGTACATAGCCCTTATCCCGTTGATAATGTGTTTTACTTTCTATACATTAATCTTTTGTTATAAGCGGTTTCACAAATGTCCCTCTGTTAATGCTCTCTCTCAATTGTTGATCAATCGTTCCACAGTTTCACTGCGATGTACTCCGTATTACTGTCATGGCTGCTAGTGGGGTCCAACATGCAGAAACTATGTAAACATATACATAAAAACGGAAAGGAAATAAAAGGACAGAGCGTAAACTGGACCTTAGAATGGCCGGACTAATACGCTAGAGATAGAGAATGGTCAAAGGGAAAGCCGAGGTCAAGGAAGCCAGAAATACTCATATACCGTTTAAACAAGCCAAGTCAGGGGAAACAGAATTCGGAATAACCAGGGAAAAGCCAAGATCAGGATACCAGGAAGTAATATTCACAAAGATAAACGCACTCTAGGGAACCAGGAACAGGAAACCACGACAGGGCAAGGTACTGGGGTGAATTAGGGATTTAAATATCCCTCTCTAGGCTCTGATAGGTCAGAGGGTGACCTCTGACCCCAGAACGTGCGCGTGCGTTGACGTCATGACGTCACGTGCGCGTTCGTATAATTTTGGGGGGTGGAGCCATGGATGGACGCGACCTCATGGTCGGCGCCATCTTGGATTTCCCCGAGCGGTGTGGAGGAGTGGTTCCCGGCTCGCCGCTGGGCAGGTAAGCTCAGTGAGTTGGTGCGGTCGTGCCGGTTAGGCACGGACGCACATGGCGGCGAGCCAGGGGGCCGTGACAATTACCTTTTGTCTATTGTTGCTGTCTATGACTTGTTGAATGCACTCAAAAAGTAGCATGTTATGCCTTTACCGTTCTGTACGACTACTCATATGCTACAATAAAATATATAAAATAAAAAGCAAAATTTAGCCCAGTGCTAGGTTTAGGAGACTCGTGTCAGCTAGTCAAACATAATAATAATTATATTTTACTGGTCACGCAGTCAGGAGAGCTATGACCTGTCCTTGTATCCCAGGTTTTATCTCTGGTGTTTTTTTTTTTTGGGGTACTCAATAAAACTCACCAAAAGGACAAGAGGAGACCAAGAGCATCTATGTCCTTGTGTGATCACTTCTGCATTGGTAGCAATGGTTTGCTGGTTTATATGCCCTCTTTTTCGGTAATAACGTCTGTTAGCACCTGCAATGAGTATCTGGCATGTCCCTACCTATTTGGTTCCAGTTTTATACCTGCTAGTCTTGCGATGTGTGTATCATGTGTAACCAGGTTGCTCACCTGAGATTATGTCTTGGCCCCACCATGTTTACAAGTAGCCCCACCACTTTCCTTATGTCTATCTCTGCCCTCTTTTGGGGGCAAGTAGCTCTGCCCTTTTTTGTTTTGGCAGGATTATGAGGTGAAAGAGAGAAAGCAGAACAACACTGTGGAAGGATAGAGAGTGTTGATTCCTGCCAAAGCAGCAACAATTCAGACAGCCACACTCTTGTTCTACCAAGTTGCAAGGAAGGTTTTGTTGGTTTATTTTCAACTTATGAGTCTTAGTTGTCCCAGTGCTAGGAAGGTGTATATAAATTTATGTTGATCACTGGGTGGAAGCACTGTTTAATCTCAATATGTCCCTATACCTGTTCCAGCTCATGCATTGGTAACTGAGTTCCCAAGGCTACTGCCCAGTTTGGAGTAAAGCAAATAACTACAGATGGGAGGGCCAGCATTTACCTGGTGGGGCACTTTTTGGAATCTTCTCAGATGTCCTTGAAGTTTATTCAATAAATTGTGGTGAACTTAAAACTGAATTTGTGGGATTTAAACATTGACCATATGAAATATTGAGAGGTACCGAGAGATAAGTATGGCACTATACAATTTGCTGATTTGCTGGGCATCATGGAAAACATTCAGGGTTATTCACTAAATTCAACCTATTCAACCCTGTAAATTTTTTGCAATTCAATCCCCAAACACGCCTGAATTTTATCTAAATTTCAATTGGACCGAACATCGCTAGGTGGCTGAAATCAAGACCAGAATGCTTCAAATCCGGACCTTGATACTTTAAATCCTGGCCCAGATCAAACTATTTGCCAGCTGCCATCTTAAAAAGTCAGTGGGAAAATAGTTAAATAATCCTTGAAAGCGAGGTTAAGTGGCAGCTGGCTAACTTGATACTATGCTTTGTATAGTATTCGGTTGCAAAAACACTGGTTTTAATCCGGACACTGAATGCATGCAGGCTACTGATGTATATTCATTCACTAAAGCCGACTGCATTCTGGCCGTATTTGACTTTAGTAAATATGAGAATTGCCACTGCAGTTGTAATTTGGTTATTTTTACTGGATTACGTCCAGATGGACAAAATCCGTTGTTTAATGAATAACCCTGATAGTCTGCAGTAGCTAAAATGCTGAGGTTGCCATTCCCTAACAAAAAAAAGTAATTAGGCTTTCCCTGTATTGTTTCAATAGTCGTATTAATGTCTATTTCTATGTTATTAGCTTTCTAAATAATTATGTTCTGCGTTTTCAGCAGCTGTTGTAAAATTAATGTTGATGATTATATTTTTATACACAAATCACTTAATACATCACAAACTCTTAAATGAGCCTTACAGAAATCCACACATGGTTCTCTACATTTTCCTGATTGTCTTTTGTTTTTCTAATGGAATGAAGTGGAAACTAAAAATACTTAACCCTTTACATTACTAATGGTGATGAGTAACATATTGCCTGGCAACCAGCTTGCCCCCTATCTTTCCAAGAATATGATCACAAGGTCGGACTGTGAACAAAGGTACACTGGATGCAGAGATCTGCTACTGTGGAAGTCCTACATTATTTTACAAAGATTTGAGATAAACTTCCCATTTTTGGCCCTAACAGGTTATAATGACAGCCAGAAGAAAATCAGGATAGCATGAATTATGGACACCTGAGAGGATAAAATGTAACCCATGTGCTGGGATTTTGAAATGTCATATTGTCAGGGTTCTTACCTGAGGTTGGAATTTGTAGCGCAGATATATTTGCTCACCCTTGCAGATAGACACAGTCCAAGGTGACTAGGTAAGAAGCTACCTGAACTGTGAATCTGTGCACGGGGGGCTGTGCAGGAAAGGGGATTCCAAAGCAGTACTGACAAGGACACAAACAGCAAGATAGTCGAAGGATAGCCGAAGTCAAAGGATACCAGAGTTCAGGATAAACGAAGTGTAGCCAAAGTCAAGTGATGCCAGAGGTCAGAGTAAACGAAAACAAAAACCGGGGTCAATATGGAGTATAAGTTCAAGAGACTAGAACACAGGAATTGAACACAATAAGCCAGGATCAAAGACTTGATAATGTTCCCCCAGACCCTTGGAGTTGTGTTGACGTTACACTGATCCTTCTCAGTTATAATCTTCCTAAGCAAGGGTGATTTGAATGACACATCACATCTTAAAGGTACAGTCCACTGCCCAAAAACAAAAAAAATAAAAAGTCTCATATTACAAAGTAAATTTAACAAAATCACAAATTTTGGAATTTGTTTTTTTCAGAACAAGAATTGGATCCCCCAAAATATTTTTCCCCCTTATGATTAGAGAGATGATTATGTCAAATACCGAAGTGTTAATGTTCCGAAGCAGCTGTTAAAGATTGATCTCTTAAATGTTGTGTCCTTGTTGAGATCTGTGTCTCTGGACCTTTTTACATGGCCATCATACTGCTTATTTTGGTGTGGCAGAATCTCAGCAGTAAAAATTAAGATTTTACCCAAATTTCTTTAGCCGATTAAAACTTTTCCAAAAACATCCTACAATTGATCCAAAGGGTAATCTCCAGCTTTATTTATCTTTCAATTACCCCAAAGTAAATGGGGACTAAACTTATCAGATTTTGGTCAGTATCATAGAGCAGCCAAACTTTCTCAAAATTTATTGACACAAGTTGTTTCTCCTGCCATAACCCGTTTACCGTTGAAAATGCCTTTATATTTCTATACACAATACAACGAAAATTATGGTTGATATCAAAATAACGTCCTAAATTGACACACCCTTTCCCTGCCACAAAATTCAGTCTTTCTTATGGTCTTTATTTCTAAAACATATCTTTCACGTTATGAATTCCCCTTTGATCGTAATAGTGGTTTATATTCCCAGCCTTTCTTTGTAGAAAGGTTTGTATAGAATTGGGAAAATACTGGGTGCAGAAAGTGACAATTTTTTTTATATGAAAAACTATTAATGCTAATGCTTTAAATTGGTATGGATACGCCCAGGTAAAATTCTTATTTCACTTATATAGTTACATAGCTGAAAAGATATGTGTCCATGTTCATCCTTTCTCACATCTGCTTTTGTTGTTGATCCAAAAGAAGGCAATTAACCCAGTTTGAAGTGCTTCCAATTTTGCAACAAACTAGGGGGAAAAATTCTTCTTGATGCCAGAATGGCAGTCAGACCTCTCCTTGGATCAAGAACTTATCACACCACAAATTAAACATTCTATCCCTGAATATTATACTTTTGCAATTATTTATCCAGTCGCTGTTTAAACATCTGTATGGACTCTGATAAAACCCCCTCTTTATGCAGATAATTCCATATACTTATTGTTCTTATTGTTTTGAAACCTTTCCT